GGGTGTGTGTGTGTGTGTGTATGTGCCGACAAAGAACGACATAGCATGACAGAGGACTGTAACGATCATAAGGGCTAGGCTATAGAACCATGCAAAGTCGTTCGAACAGTCACATGCAAGATGCGTAGTAGCGAGATCCAGGGCACTTTGCCATGGCAAAGGAAGAGTCGAAGTCGCAATAAGTCTATTTTGCGTATTTCGATTCTCAGCGTGCAAATACAAGAGTGCCCGCATGGCGGGGCTCGGAAAACATAAAAACAGGAAAGGAAGAGACATGAAGAGTCATCGTCAGTCGGCCTCTGTGTTCAGCAGCTCTGAGTCTGCTGTGCTTGGGTTGACAGATCTTGCACCTCAGACACTTGTGGCCGACTACTACACCGTGCTGTACCTTTTCCTCGGGATACTCTGATACAGATATTCTTCACATTGACATACTAGTCGTGTCATGATGCAATCTAGGGACATATCATATCCCTGCTTGTGTTTCGATGTACATGACACGAAGGGTTGCAGGAGGCCCCTCACGAAGTACGATGGCTACTGGCTACCCTCTAGACTCTCTAGACTCGGCGCTAGGGACCTTGTGCTGATGCACACCTTGGGCGGCAGCGTACCAGAAGCCCTGAACCTTAGGCCGTGGGCCCGTGTTGTACCTCTGCTCACCAAGATGCCGGGATCTTCGGCGACCTGAAGGCTGAAAAGGCTGAAGAGGGCTGCGGGAATCGGGAAGGGCGCTTGTGACCCTGCGCTCCCGCGCTGAGCTTGTGCCCCATGAAGGCAGTTCTGACACCCCAGCGATATGAGAGCCAACATGGCTTGCAGCACCTCGTCGGAGGCCCTCGTCTTTGTGCCTCGAATCCGAGACTATCCGATGTGAAGCACTCCCCGAACGCCGCAATGCCTATTTTCAAGCTGTCGTGGGCCGAAGGGCAGGCTTTGTCGGCCAATCGCGCAGACAGCACGCGCTCCACCTGAGCTTCTGGGCTTCAACGTAACGCTCCCAACTCAGCAATTACACACTTGATGTCCTGGAGTCCTGGCCTGCTGCAACTGTTGAGCCACTATCCCTAAACTCTTCTTATAAAGTGCACCAAAACCTGCTTGTGATTGCTTTGACAAGAGGCCGCCCACCGGGTGGCCGAGCTCATACCTGGAGAGTCCTTCATGCAAGATTCCCAGCTAACAAACAACCATCTCACCTACACCGACAGCCCGCTTCAAGCAAGTGTCTTCGACTAAATTACGTGCAAACGGCACAGCCAGAGCCTCCTGTAGAGCAAGAGCCGGTGTGCTCGCTTTGGATGCGGCCATCGCTGCCCCGTCTCGAGGAGGGACTGCGCTCGGGCAGGCGCCTGAGCCTCGGCTCTGAGCCCGGGTTCCGATTTGCTCATTCCACACTTCCCCTCTAGCGCTCTCTCCGAGGCAGGCCTGCATCCGGCTTCGCCTTCGCCCCGTTCGCCCCGCGCTTCTCCACGCTCTTGGCCGCGCTCGGGCTTCGACGGCTGGCCCCGGGAGTTCCACCCCGCCTGTTTGCACCTCAATGCGGCCGAAAGGAACTTCGAAGCAGAAAGACGCCAGACCAATTCTTGAAAGGGAGGGCTATCCATGGAAGGCACTTGGGATCCGCCTTGCTGCAAAGCGATCAGGACATTCCACTGAGCGGTGGTCCTGAAGGGAAAAAGGAAAGTGTTGCAGAAAAAGCCAGCTCCAAGTTCTCAAGACCTCGAATCCCAAACCTGGTACTTGTGTGACTCAGAGAGTCCACTCGCTCGCTACATGACGGATTCGCTCCGTGTCCTTCGTCCCAGTGCCGCAGGGACCAAGCTTTGGAGGTGGCTTGGGAGTTTTGCCACGCCCACTCGGCGGGAGGGATTTGCCTTTCACAACATAGGGTGTGAGCTTCGAGTGGAAAACTGAGTTCTCTTCTCACTGCCGCCCTTTCGAGCTCCGCGCCTGGAGGCACTTTCGGCTCTGGCACTGTTGCTTTCGAGGCCATTGCGAAGACACGGGCTCTGGCACTAGAAGTGTGCGCCTCAAGGATCTTTGGGGTGAAGCGAGTTCTTGTCATAGTGAACAGAGCTCTCGTACGCAAGCTAAGGCCTCCTGTACATGGAGGTCTGCAGCTGCGGCCTTGCTTTCGAAGATGAGTCAAGTCTTAGATAGACTTCATATTACCATGTTTTTCATTTGTGAACTTGTTCATTCGATGTCGTGTGCAGTGCCGAATATGGGCAGTGCACTGTCCACCCACACAGCACAACTCCGAGGGCTGAGGGCACAAATGTGATGGACTTGACACGTAAGAGATCGTCGAATCGGCGACTGCTGGGAATCGTCTGAGCTGGCGGACAGCCAGATCAGCTAGGCATATGCAGCTAGGTGCTCATCCAGACGAGAGCTGAGCTCTTCCATGGCGAAGGACATGCAAAAATAGATGCACAGCCGGCTGCTACTCTAGACCTTTCTCAGCACTCGCTCTCGGCAAAGCAGGCGTATGCTTCCAGCAAAGACACACTCCGCCGGTCTAGACTTCCTGCTGCCGACTCAGACATGATGTCGAAGGCGAGACCGACACCACAACCAGCTCCAGCCATAGCTCGCCTTAACCGGGATAGTTGGTGATGTTCCTAAACTTTCTCGGTTTCCCTCCAACAGAGATCAAAAGTTTAGAACAGCCCCAATTAATTACTCTTAGAAGCGGAAACGCGCGGATGGACATGTTACACGAGTGCCAGCTTTCAGTAACACGCCAAGTCACCCAAGGCTTTTCTTTGCAGCCCTTCTCCTACAGCAATGAACAGGCATCTGAAGCTGCCAGAACGGTATGACATGGTATGACCTCCTGCAACCGGACCCATTCATGCAACAGCATCAAACGTGAAGTGGTTCATGGCTTCAGAGCCCAGCCCACCGCATTTCACGTTTCGCCCGCATTCACCAAGGACGTCTTGGTCAGCACATGGGTTGAAAAGTTGAAGGTACCAACCGCCAGCTCTGTTTTGAGTTGATGCTTGCTTGCAGTCTACAAAGTCCGCACAACCAATTGCCGTAGGATAGATTTTGAATCCCAAATCACCTCTTTCGAGGTCGGGCGATTGGATGCTGCAGGCAATTGCTGCAACAACATCTGACATCTGCTCACCATCTCTGCAATGCTCAAGGCTCACGGCGCAAGCCGTGCTGAATGCACTCTGCGACAGGGTCTTCCTATGCAAGTGATCCACTGCACACAAAAGACGAGGTGCAGTTCCGTGCGCATCCACTGCGACGCTGTCTGCACTCTGCAGCAGATTACAAATTATGAAATTCGAAATTCCGGTGTGCATGCAGGTGTCTAAATCTCATAAGTCAGTGTCAGCACACCTATTCTGTGGCTAGTGCGTGTGTTCGGCCGCAGCCAAAGAAGATTCCAAACTTGGCACAACACACCAGCTTGGGAAAAATGGTGCGACTTTCTTGCACCGTCCACAGCCAGTGTCCAGGACCCTTGCCCACGACATTGGCGTTCCCGAAAGAGACTTCTACTCCTTCACTTTTCCGCTCTCGTTTGGGGGAAACCTGGTGAGCTCCACACAGCCATCTACTCAGTCTTTTCCTGCCTATAGGCCGGGAGCGTGCCAGGCCAAAAGTAGGTTCGCCAAAGGAAACGCAGGATGTCGGGCTCGTCCAGGGACGGGTCGTTGTGCGGCGCGATTACTTTGGCATGCATCTCGGGGTACTGGGTCCAATGCATGTTGCTGTACATGTGGTGGATTGCATGGTACCCGTTGTTGCAAGTGAACCAATTTATCACGGGGCCGGTGAAGTTGCGAGCAGAGTTGACATTCATGTTCGGCCCCTTGTGCTCTCCCAGGACAATGTCTTCTGTTCCATCGTGCTGCAACACGTTCCTCGGGTCAGACGAGATTTTGATCACAGCATGAGTTGCCTATTCTGCCATGAAGACAAGCACTGATCTGAGGACCCATTAGCAGCTATTAGCACGCTGCTCAACATGCTCGTGCAGGATCCGATCGCATCAAGCATCACTGCGCGGCTGGCCTACTGATCGGTAGTGAGGGGACTGTGCAAACGCAAGCTAAGACTCATGGTCACAATAGCATCTGCGCCGAAGATGTAGGGGATGATCCAACAGCACAGAGCCCTCTGCCAATCGAGGTACCTTCCCACGCAATCCAGATTTCGAGAACGCATGGGTCCGAGCCCCGGCATGTTGTCCGACCAACAGCTTGTTGTGTCGTTCCCACAAACACGACATAAGCCTGTCTGAAGAATCTCTTTGTGAAGCAAGCATGGGCATGGACAGCAACTGAGCCGAGGATCAGAAGTGTGCCTGTGGTGCCATGTGCAGCAAGGACCTCTGGGTGCATTGCCAAGGCCACGCTCAAAAAGCATTGCCATGCGTGCACCACTATCGCCGTATCAACACACATGTCTACCCTTCTCGGTGGCAACCACGGGGCCAATGCGATGCCAAGACTTGCGTTGACGGTCAAGGCAGAATCTGGGCACCCTGCCTGAAGAACGAAGAGGAAGAACGTCTTGGAGCACTTCCGCATTTCTCGCGATATGTACTCCGACTCTAGCTTCTGAATGGCCGGGAAGACCTTTTCGTCACACTTGAAGAGAGACTGTTCAAGGAGCTTGGGACTGCTTTGGCGAATGTCCATGGCCCGAAGCCTAATTAGACTTTAAGTCGCGGACGGTCGGGAAGAAGAGAATCAAATTGAGCAGATGCCACTTGTACTTCCTCAGCCGGTTACCGAAGAGCGATAGTTGGCTGCTTCGTGTCTGATTGCTTTTGAGTTACACGAAATTCCAGCGCATCCAGGTCTACAGCTTCAGAAAAATTACCGTCAACTTGTCTTGATAGCTGCCACAGCTTTTGTGGCAATTGTAGCCAAACGTCATCTGCTTCGTGTCAAGGTGGTCGCCGTGTTGGGTATACACCTGGGCTAGCTACTAGCAGAACTACCCGAACCTTCTCCAAAAGACAAGGTAACGGGTCTTCGCGGTCTTCGGCCAAGTAGCGTGATGATTGAGATTATGTGTCGGCCGGTATGCCTCAACCGGCACACCGGCTGTCGCCGAAAGCATCACCCTCCAAACTGACCTTGGTCTTGACCATATTCTCAACGCAGATGTCGTTTCACATGGTCTGCTTTGCAAGGACATTTATTCTTCAGTCGTTTCCAATCGAAGGACTAAAAATCTGTGCTCAGCCATCCCAGGCAAGCAGCTCCACTACGGGATGTCGGAAGACGTCGCAATGCATGGCGTTGTGCACCATGGTCATGACCTTTCTGAGCGCAAGCCCGACACGAACATGGCAAACGCCAAGTGCAGCTGCGCGGATCCACTCAAGCTCAAGACGCCCGGTCTCACAGAGAGAAAGGCCAAGTGGCGTAGAAGCTCCAAACACACTGGACGATGCCGAGCAGGAATTTGCCAGCGAAGCCCAGATACCTTGCACTGAGCAGGGTGGCGGACGAAAAAGCAAACGTCTAAGACTACCAGCGACCAGTCTTCATTTCATCCAAAGCGTTGGTGCTGCAGCCTGGGCGCGGATGAGCCTGCCACACAATTAAAGCGATCAACCACTTCGCTGAGCAAATCCCAAGCGTCCGGAGGTCGGCGGGATTTTTCATGGACGACAGGAACGTGGACGAGATGTCCATGGCTCCGGGACTATGCCGTCCTCACTATCAAAATGCACGTCTTGAGCCAAAGCTGCCCGGTCCCGACACCTTAGGAGCAAGCTTTTTGGCTTCGAGACATGGACAACATGGGCAGGGACCGTCCTCGGGCTCTGTTCTCAAAGCTGGGCACGTTCGACGGCGCCAGCCTGGAGCTCAAAACAACATGCAGACACTTATGCGTGCAAGATTGCACCACAGGAACCAGGGGGTCCATCGGAATGGCACTCACACCGAGGAAAGAAAGACATACCTTAGCTACAGTAGGATTTAAAGTCTTCTGTGTTGGAGAGCTCGCGGAACAAGATCGTCCGGAAGCACAAACATCCATAGATGCAGCCGAATCTAACCATTTCATGTCTGAAGCGGGCTCTGCACTTCTCTCAAAGCCAAACTGCGGACAAGCGCGACTATACGGATCCCCGCCATGTGAAGGTCTGTTTCACAAGAATCCGTAACTGAAGCATCCGATGTGATCCCTCTTTGTATCCAATCCTCTGGCCCAGCCTCAGCGGAGGGTCAGCGTGCCGGCGTGCAAAGCCGCATGGCATGGCTCCGAGAACTTCACAGAAGCTGCAGTCTACGATGCAGAGCCGAAGAATGTGGATCGTGGGTGCTTGTCTTTGCGTTGCAATTCCCTAGTTTTCCTTGAGCGGAACGTGTAGGGTGCAGCTGATCCATGCTAACCCCCACTCAAGCCCTTCTGCTCACGATCGTCGCCGGACATCACGCGCCACCCTACACTACCTCCTGGAGTCTAGAGGCAGCATTGGAATCGAGGTCAGAGTCTAAGGCCAGGTCCATGCCTCTGCGGCTGGTTGGACTCGACGCGCCCTACGCGGAGAGTTGGAGAACATGATGCTCACAAGTATTCCTACTCCACAGTTCCTGAATTTCCTGCACTTCTGTACATAAGCAGTCTAATTATAAGTAGAACTGTTCGCAATTGACACAGTTCTCGCATTGCTCCTAGTTCCGCTACTCCTAGTTAATACCTATGCACCCTTACTATCTGCATAGCTCTTGTAGTCCAGCCGGGACGCGAAAACAAACGAAATGTAGGTCATTTTCTGATTGCTTCACGCCCTGCCGGGCCTTCGGCTGGAACTGGAGTTAGGCTGAAGCCCCAGTCAGGCGTGCGGTCCACACGGAGCAAAAATGGCAAAGAAGGCACCTCTGCAGTGAGGTTTTCGGTGCCGGGGAATGTCGGCTCTCACGCTCCGCACGGTCAGGCAAGAATTCACTAGGGGCTTGGGTTTTTTGGAGGCGCTGCCTGCTTCAACGTTGAACACTCCAGGACTCCAGGCGACACAGAGCGAGAGTCCGTTATCGGAACGACAAAGCAGACAACATTACAGAAACATATTAATTAAATCGAAGTGCGACGCCTGAACCTAGGTTTGGTGCTCAGGGGCGCAGAGTTTCTCCTCCTACACTCGGTGAAAGGCTCAAGCAGTTCAGGCCGGGACACGTTTCGCCTAGAGATGGGCTCGACCAAGCAGCAGGAAGGCAGAAAATCATTCATTCAAGTGTGGCCTCTAGAAGGCTGCAGCCCGAAACGCAACGCGCAGCTCGGCGGCGCACAGGAACCTGAGCATACCGGCAGAAGGCCGCACACAAGCAATTGAGTTGAGCACTCAGCCCTTGAATGCAGTGCAATCTGCGGCTGGGGTCGGAAGTGGCACAGCGGCCAAGGGCAACGGCAAAGGCACCAGGGGCCGAGGGCCTCCGAAACAGGAAGCGCTCGCTGAGGTGGGATTCAGAAGCGTCCCACTGCAAGGGATAGCAACTTACAAGCTCCACTCCCCTGCCGTCTGCGAAGCGTCGGCCAAAGTGAAGCAACCTGGGGCGTGGAACAGAATGAACAGAACTTGTAACACTGTAGTTTCAGGATCTGGGTGCATAGCTCGTCCAGCCAAACATGCTACATTTCCGTTTCCATCGAACACTGCAGCATGTCGCGGTAGACTGAGTTCTTGTGGGCCTTCTGATTGCTTCGTCTTTGCTGTGACCGGCGTCGCAGTCCATATCTCTGTCTCTGCATGCTGCTTCCCACAGGCTTTCGAAGTCTCCTGCGCAACCGGCAACCCCCGCCTGGCGCAGCGTGTGAAAACTCGCGGTCGGAGCTATGCACCCCACTCCCCTGTTTCTTTCGGTCTCACTCTCTCTCGCTCTCTCAGTCCTTCCTTCCCCTGCGCGCGACTGCGCCCGGTCGCAGAAGTTCATCTCACAAGACGGTTCGAGATGGGTTCGTTATCGGACTGCAACGCCACCTGGAAACACCAACCTGTCTCCACCCTGTACTGCAAGTAACCTCCTCCAGACTGGCCCATCCTCCAAGATCCTCCAAGTCCCTCTCTCGCCCTCCTCCCGGATTTCGGCGAGGTGGACCGAGACGACATCGGCGTGACCTTTAAAGCCATACATAAGAAAGTAAGCTAATTACTGTATGCCCCGTCGACCGTTCTCCTATGTTGAAGTCAGCTGCTCGCTCGCTCGCTCTCCGCTTTCGCTCTCGCTCTCTCGCTCTGATACTCTCACGGTCAGCGCTCACCCGCGGTCCCCGGGTGTCTTATTTATCCCTGAAAGAGTTTTTCCCCACATATATCCCCAAAAAGCTCAGCTGTACGGGAACAAGGTGGCGCTCTCTCTCTCTCTCTCGCTCTCTCTCTCTCTCGCCTAGGCTGTAAGGAAGACATCTTTTTTTTGCGTCCAGTGCCACTGGTCCGGCCGGTCTCGCGTGACTCGCGACGGGAGTGGAGAGGGAATCATAGCCAGTCTCTCTCTCTGTCCGTCCCTCTCTCTCGCTCTCTCTCTCGCTTCTGCTTCCTTCAGGTTAAGGGAGCGTGCG